GAACAGGCAGAGCATTCCTGAAAATGAAGCAGGGGCGTGGCGGACCTGGCGGCGTGGTGGACAAGATTGGGCGGGGCCATGCAGGCTGAGGGTGGGGCCTGGGGCTGTGGGACGGGACAGGTGATCCAAGGTGTGAACAAAGCTGGTTGGGGTTGGCGCGGGGGTGGAGGGGTGGGGGCTCTCCCAGCTGTGGGGAGCCTTGGAACCGGCAGGATCTAGGCAGGACCCAGGCCCCTCCAGAGAGGGAGCCCAGAAAGTCGTTTCTAGTCTCTGAACTTACTCTGTTTCTTCCTTAGTAATATAGGCATCTGTCTAGTGGCCCTCAGGTGCTCCGTTAACTCCCTAAAAGTGCTCTCAAAGAAGAGTCTACCATGCCCATATTAGAGATGGGGTGGTTGATGTCCAGAGAAAGGCTGAGACCTACCCATGGTCACACAGTCACTTGGGGAGAGATCTGAAACTCACATCCTGGAGTTCAGATTCGTCCCAGTGGGAAGACCCTGGGTACAGACGTGGAGACCAAGGCATGAGGGGTATGGGGTCCCTGAGTAGAGGTGTGACTGTGGGGCAGGTGGACAAACCAAAGACTACTCCTGCCCGGTCCACCATGTGACTCCAGAGAAAACGAGACAGAACAGATACGGGCCACCACCAGCCATCAGCTTGCCAGGATCCTCGTTCTGACCACGCCACCTCTGCTTCCAGCTTTGACCTGGAAAATGGGCTCTCATGCAGGAGAAGCGCCCTGGACCCTCAGTCAGGGCCTGGCCTTGGCCGGGTGGTCCAGGCCCCTTCCCAGTACAGTCAGCGGCGAGAATCCTTCCTGTACCGCCCCGACAGCGACTATGAACTCTCACCTAAGGCCATGTTCCGGAACTCTTCTGTGGCCAGTGACCTGTGAGTCCAAGGCTGGTGGGATGACACCTCCTTGTCTCTTCCTCCTTCCTTTATTTCTCCATTTAGCACACCTCCTTCAAGTGGCCATTTAAGCTGGGCTTTGAAGTTTAAGTAGGAGTTTGCCAGGCAGCTCACTTATTCAGTTGAGCATACCTAGAATGATATCTGGTGATCTTCTGTGCTTGATTTTAGGTTAGGGTTGGGTGGCAATCTAGAAACATTAAGTACAATTGGCAGCAACTGAAAAAATACCTTGATTTGAGCTTCCTGGTAGGGAAATATAATATCTGTATTGCTTTTAAGACCCTTGCTGCTCTGGACTCAGTTTCCCCATTTTGAGGTAGGGATAAAGTGAGTGAGTGGTCGGAGGGGCTGTGGTGGGTTTCAAGGAAGAGTCAAGTGATGGGAGCCCAGGGACCAATAGGACACTCCAAGGAGGAGTCGTGAAGGAACTGTGCTCAGCTGAGGGCATAGTGTAAGCAAAAGCTGGAAGATGGGAACGCGCGGGAGGTCTCCCTGTCCGCCCTTTCTGATGTCCTATCTCCCCACAGACATGGAGAAGACATGATTGTGACACCCTTTGCCCAGGTGGGTGCCCACTCCTCCCCTCTCCCCGTGTGAGACGTGCAGGCAGAGTCGACCCCCCCTTTTCAATACTGATCATACCCCTCCCGACAGGTCCTGGCCAGTCTGCGGACGGTTCGGAGCAACGTTGCGGTGCTAGCCCACTTACAAGGCCACAGGGCACCCAAGTATGCAAGGGGTGGGTGGGGGTGGGGCCTGGCAAGGAGGAGAGGCCTACAAGTGCAGCATCAGGGCGGGGCCTGCAGAAGAGAAGGGCAGGGCCAGGCCTAGGGGGTGGAGCCGGCAGACAAGGTGGGCTGGGTGGGGGCGGGGCCATATGGGTGAGGTGGGCCACCCCTGAGAGGACTGTGCTGTATAGGCAGGCATCCAACGGAAACGCTCCATCTGGCAGTCAGCCCCCTCCACCTACAGGTAATGCACCCGCTCGTACCCCTTCGTCCCGCTGTGGGTACCTCTGTGAATTTCCTCCCCATGGTAACCTCCCCAGCCCCTAAGTCCTTATGCTGTGCTCATTGTAACCCCTCAAAACACCCTCGGGGATGGAGTCTTATTACGGATGGGGTGGCTGAGGCCCAGATGGACAGAGACCTGCCCATGGTCACACAGCCACTTGGGGACAGATCTGCAACTCAAATCATGGGGTCCTGAGTGGCCCAATTGGGAAGGGCTCCAGGGTCCAAATGTAGAGAGGGAGGCATGAAAGACATGGAATCCCTGAGTAGGGTGGGGCAGGCCCCTCACTAGCTCTGCCCCCAGAGGACACTGAGCAAAAGGTGGCTTTGGAGACACTGGATGAACTGGACTGGTGTCTGGATCAGCTGGAGACACTGCAGACGCGGCACTCGGTGGGGGAGATGGCCTCCAACAAGGTGAGTAGGGCCAGAGAGCCAATATAATTTGCCTCCGCCCACAGTGTCCCCTCATCACTGTCCTTCCCTTCCCTTTCAGTTCAAGCGGATGCTGAACCGGGAGTTGACTCACCTGTCTGAAACCAGCCGTTCTGGGAACCAGGTGTCTGAGTACATCTCCCGAACCTTCCTGGGTAAGCTGTGGTGGGTCACTGCCTGGGAAACATTACAGAGGTAGGAAGAAGGAAGAAAAGAAAAACTTCTATTGCAGAGCTCAGTTTGGGGAAGACAGAGCCAGACATAAACACCCCCAGTTACATGAGTGAAGGCTGGTCCAGGGGGAGGAACAGGAGGAACTTCCAGGAAGAGGAGGACATTAAAGCTAGGGTTTTGAAGTATTAGTAGAAGTTTTCCATGGAGGAGATGGAGGAAACCAGACAGCTGGGTCTCCAGTTTGGGAGATGAAAAGGACATTGGGCTGTTCGGAGAAAAACACTGAGCCCCAGCAGAAGTGGTCACCAAGATCAGCCATGAACAGAAGAAAGGGGTAGCTACAGTCCAGACAGGGACTTTACTCTAAGCTTACTTTGATCCAGGTGAAAAGAGAAAGGTTGATCCCAAGGCTTGGCAAAGTCTGAGACCTGAGGCTAGTCAGGACAACTCTAGCAGATAATTTGGCTTCTCTGAGCCCCACCCTGCCCTGTCTACAGACCAGCAGACTGAAGTGGAACTGCCCAGGGGGACCCCCACAGAGCCCCTGAGGCCCATGTCCCAGATCAGCAGCCTGCATGGGCTCCCCCACAGTGCCAGCCTCTCCACAACCACCGTCCCACGCTTTGGGGTCCAGACTGACCAGGAGGGGCAACTGGCCAAGGTGGGTCCCAACCAGAATGCTGAGACCTGGGTTTGAGTCCTGGATCTGTTTGGATGCCCTATCTTGGGCCTCAGTTTGCCCATCTGTATACTGGGCAAATGTGGCTAAATATAGGGACTGGGGGCTTTAGGTCCAGTGTCTGGGGAAGTTGGGCTGGGGTTAAGCTCTAGTTCTTCGAATTTTAGGAACTAGAAGATACCAATAAGTGGGGGCTTGACGTATTCAAGGTGGCAGAGCTAAGTGGAAACCGGCCTCTCACAGCCATCATATTCAGCATCTTTCAGGTACCTCCGTGCCCTTGGCTTCCAATACCCTTGGGTTTCCTTCACCCCTTTCTACCTCAAAACCTCAGGGAAACATATGCTTCAACTCCTCCCTAACACCCTTGAATGGGATCATTTGAGCAGGGCATTGAAGGATGAATAGGAGTTCACTAGGTTGAACAGTTGATTGCTGATTGTCAGCAAGCCTCAGCCCTGGGCCAAGGCCTAGAGGGAACAGCTGTGGGGGTCAGAGATGGACCAAAGGGGAAGGACAGAGACCAAGTAAGTTCAGAATGGAGGGCATCCTGGAAAGGGGGGCATTTGTGAGATGGATAGGAGTTCAGAAGGAGAGAAGGCATAGGAACAGGACCCAGAGGCTGATGTCCTGACTGGGGACCTGTGATGGACCAGGAACGGGACCTGCTCAAGACATTTCAGATCCCAGCGGACACACTTGTCACTTACCTGCTGACCCTGGAGGGTCACTACCACGCTGATGTGGCCTACCACAACAGTCTGCACGCTGCTGATGTGGCCCAGTCCACGCATGTGCTGCTGGCCACACCTGCACTTGAGGTATGGCCCTATGGGCAGCCCAGGCAGGTACAGGGTGCAGAGAGCCTGCCCCTCACCTCTTATGCCTGTGCCCACTCAGGCCGTGTTCACAGACCTGGAAGTCCTGGCTGCCATCTTTGCAAGTGCCATCCATGATGTGGACCATCCTGGGGTCTCCAACCAGTTTCTCATTAACACCAGTGAGTCAGGGGACCCTGCCTTCACCTGTCAATCATGTGATCTCCGGTGGTCCCATCTCTGCTTTGAGCCTGGTCTCCCTTTTCTTGAAAGGCTATGACAATCTTCTCTCCCTTAGGTGCTCAGAGTGGGTCCAAGTAAACAATAAATGAGAAAATAACAAATGTGACAGAGCTGATCTTGGCCCACTGAGAACTTAAGTTTAGGGTCCTTTGAGGTGTCTGAAAAACTCAGTTAATGAGCAATTATTGGGCACCTCTTGTACAATATATAAATAACACAGGAGAGCTGGGGATGAGAGTGGAGCCCTCTCACTCAAGGATCCCAGAGTTTCATTAGATGAAAACTCAGTTGTTCGTTCAACCAGCACTCAGTATGCACGGTCTCTTGCCATGCCAAGTCCCCAAGGAGTCCTCAGTCTCGAGGAGTCAGAGCAGAACACAGATGCCCCCAGCCCTATGGAGCCAGAGCATGGACGGAAGGAGAGACAGGGTCCTAGAAGGCTTCCTGGAGGAGGGGGCATTAGAGTTAGGGCTTCAATACCTGAGTAGGAGCTTGTCAAGTATTCACCAAACCTGCCTTTTGGTGGAGTGGGTTGGGCGGGCAGGTCTTGAGGCTCTCCACCTCCCCCACAGACTCAGAGCTCGCGCTTATGTACAATGATGCCTCTGTGCTGGAAAATCACCACCTGGCTGTGGGCTTTAAGCTGCTGCAGGCAGAGAACTGTGACATCTTCCAGAACCTCAACACCAAGCAGCGGCTGAGTCTGCGCAGGATGGTCATTGACATGGTGAGGCCACAGTGATGGATGGGGTGGGGCAATCTTGGCCTGGCTGAGGGTTCAGTTGAACCCGGACATGTCCCCGTTTTGAGTCTGAGCTTTCTGGTCTGTAAAATGAGGTAATGACCCTCCAAGCCCTAGGTGGGTTGTCCGGGCCCTAGGTCCTGGCTGTGGTTCACACACAAGCTATGTGGAAACTGAGCTCTGGGGTTTCAGGTGTAACTTTTTCTGAGCCTTTAGTATGTCTATTTGATATTTTTCAGGCTGTGAGATACCAGGAAATCTTGGGGTCTTGTGCCTCATTCATTCATTTTACAAGCATTTATTGAGCAACTATTGTGTGCTTGCCCTGTTGAATGACCAAGACATTTCTGGCCTTTCTGAGACTCCAGTTTGTGGGGGGAGATGGACATATAGGTGGGAGCCATGATGGAGACCCATAGGCAGAGCTGTGATGGAGGACCTGTAGACAGAGCTGTGATGGAGGGATGCTCAAGGTCAGGTAGGGGTTCCCCAGGAAGGAACACTGAAGCTGGGGCCTGCAGGGTGGGGAGGGCCATGGGATGGGGAGGAGTGCTCCCAGTAGAGGGAACAGTCATGTGGGGAGGCCTCAGAGGAAACCAGGGATCCAAATGAAGAGGAACTAAAAGTTTGGTGAGACAGAGTCGGGGCCTTAGATAATGGGCACCCCCAGTGGGAACATCATTTGTGGCAGATAGACGGTTTGGGAAGTTTTGAGACTTTTGTCAGATTCTCAGAGTAGCCCATGGGCCAAGTTTGGGTCACTTGTGAGCTGGGTCCACATGGGTCCGGTGAAGTTGATTTTTAACCAGCTGTATTTAGGGCCAAACTTCCCTTCAAATGGCTGAAAACAGGTCTCCCAGACATGTAGTGGCCATAGGGAGGTTTGGGGAGCACCAAGTCAGGTCCCTCCCAGTTTCAAATTCACCTGTGGCTCCCATGGCCCTCTGGATACATCTCCCACTCCTCTCTAAAGCCCTATCCACTCCCACCACCCTCCACTGCTCCTGCATTCACTTGCTCTAGCCATAACTGCCTCCTCTATGTTCCTCAGCTTATCCAGCCCCAAGGCCTTTGCACAGGCCATGTCCAGGGCTGGGCCTCACCACTGGCCTCAGGCACATCTCACCTCAGTTCCCAGATTTACTCTTTAACAGGTGGGATGCACCTTGTGAGCCCAACAGCCTCGGAGATGGGACCATTGACTCAACTCCTCTTGCGAGCTGGATTTGCAGCCAGTCTCGTTATAGCCTACCATTTCGCAGATGAGAACACTGAAGCTCAGAGGGCCAAGGGTCTGAGTGGGTGTGATGTCTGGGAATGAGGGATGGGAGCAGTGCTTATACATGTTATCCCCGCCTCACCTGGCCCCAGGTGCTGGCCACTGACATGTCCAAACACATGAACCTCCTGGCTGACCTCAAGACCATGGTGGAGACCAAGAAGGTGACAAGCCTGGGAGTCCTACTGCTGGACAACTACTCTGACCGTATCCAGGTGTGTAGCCAGGCGGACCCCAGGGCCTTGGTTTCCATGCCTCTCATTTAGCTGCATTTATGAAGCATCGACTGTGTGCCAAACTTGAAGAAATGGAGGCACTGAGAGTCATGTGATTGTGTCTTAGCCATTCCTTCCCCTCCCAGGCCTCCGTTTCCCCACCTCTAAGAAGGGTGTGTGTCCATGGTGCCAGCCTGTAGGGAATGGTTAACAGGGCCTGGGGTTAGTCTGGCCGAAGCCCTCCCAAGCTTCCGTCTACTCAGGTCTTGCAGAACCTGGTGCACTGTGCTGACCTCAGCAACCCCACCAAACCACTGCCCCTGTACCGCCAGTGGACGGACCGCATCATGGCCGAGTTCTTCCAGCAGGGTGATCGTGAGCGTGAGTCAGGCCTGGACATCAGCCCCATGTGTGACAAGCATACGGCCTCGGTGGAAAAGTCCCAGGTTGGAGGGCGACTGGGCATGGAGGAGGGAAAGGAGTAGTTAAGCTGACCCCATGAGTTCTGGCTTGACCCCTGGCTGACCAATGAGGGAGTGTGACCTAAAGGCGTAGTCTGCCCTGGGCTATGTGGAGTCAGTCTGGGCTGCAGGGAGAGGGATCTGCACTTGCGGGGTTTGGAAATGTCTGTTCTGAGTGGTGTGAGGGACCCTGAAGGGGCTCTCAGTCTGGGGGACACATACATCCAGTCATGAGGGGTTAGGGCTGAGGTGGAAGGAAAGACTTAAAGGTTGGGTGAGTCCAGAGAGGGGAGGGGAGGCTTCTTAAAGGAAAGATTGTTTGAAGAGGGTTTTGAAGGATGAGTGGGAGTTGGGAAATGGCATTCCAGGCAGAGAGAACAACCTGGGCAAAAGGCCTGGAGGCTGGACTGAGTCTAGGTTTCATGGTGATTCATAGCATAGCTACCCCTTCCCCCACAACCCTGTACCACCCCACAGGTGGGTTTCATTGACTACATCGCCCACCCACTGTGGGAGACATGGGCTGACCTGGTACACCCAGATGCACAGGACCTTCTGGACACACTAGAAGACAACCGCGAGTGGTACCAGAGCAAGATCCCCCACAGCCCTGTGGACCCCATGGGCCCTGAGCCGGGCGGCCCTGACAGATTCCAATTTGAACTGATTCTGGACGAGGCAGAAGAAGAGGAGGAGGAGGAGAGAATGTTGGCCCAGGAGTCGCCTGACACTGAGCTCTTATCCCCTAAGGCCAGACCAGACCCTGGGGACTTATGCCTGGACAGCCAGAGGACCATGGACAAGCCCTGCATGGACCATGAGGGCAATGTGATGGCTGAGCCCTTTGGCACCTAATAGCCGCTGGTGAATGGGTAGACTTTCTAGGAAGAGGTCCCAAGTGACCCATGCTTTGCCTTCTCCACACAGAGGGAGACAACCAAGCTTCTAGTTATAGGCAAGTCTCAGGGTCAAATTGGAGGCATTTGTCTGGGGTCCACTCTGACCCTGGGCTCTGCTGAGAGAGCTCTCCTCCTCCAAAGTCAGCTCTGAAGCTGGGGCTGGGTCAGGCCCAACTTCTCCAGTGATCACTTTTGAGCCACATCCATCACTTTATTCTTTCATTCTTTATCAGATGTTTATTGGGCACCTCCAATATGCCAGGCCTGTGCCTGCTATGTGTCTCTGGAGTAGCCCTGTGCAAGGGGGTGAGGAGTCAGCTCCAAGGAGATGCTCTCCACAGGTGCCTCCCATTCTTCTTCTGGGCAGCTCCCTACAGGAGAACGGCACCCTGAATGGGAAAATTTTTGGCACCAAAGCTTTGTCCAGTCCCAAGCCTGGCTCTGGAGCTCTGGAGGAGGGTGGTAAGAGAGCAGCAAAGAGAAGGCTCTGTGTGGGGGGCATCTCTGAAAACTGATGTGGCCTGTCACTGCTTGTGCATTGGTTATTGCTTTAAGTCACTGTAATTTCTGTTTTCAGGGTGCACCTGCTCCCTGTTCTTTCTGGCTGCAGGACCTCCTGCTGGTACCCACCCACCACACACATTATCTCTCTTATAGAACTGCAACAAAAACATACAATTCCCCCCCATGGTGGGTCTCTGCATCTCATAATTCTGAAGGTGCCCCAGACTCTCCTTAGGGAGGTCTTCTGGACCTCAGTTTCCCCCAAGTACTGGGGGAAACTGAGACCCAGATCCTAGTTTGGGCCTGATCTGGTCCTATGGCCTGATCCTAGGACTTGGGTAAACTTTGGTTGAGGGGTGGTGTCTCTGACTACCCTGAAATATCTTAGAAACGTGGAGTATTGCATGTTTCTCTGGGGTTAAATAAATCCTATTACCCTAAACTAGCATCATGCCCATTTCACAGATGGGAAACTGAGGCATGGAGCAGTCTTGTCAGCTCAAGGCCACACAGTTGGGCGAAGAACATAAGCTAGCGGCAGGAGGCGTGGCTAATTCGGGTGTTGGTCTTGCCTGGCTGGTTGCCCCTCCTGCATCTTACCTGTTGGAGCTCAGCCTGGGGCGGGGGTGACCTCACCCCGGAGCAGGAAAGGAGGCTCTGCATTCAAGTCTCAGGGTTTTTTCTGGTCTCTGGAAGGCTTAGTATTTCCCATACCCTTGCCTCCTTCCCAGAGTGCCTGAAAGTGTATATGTGACAGGTCTTTGCAGCAATCTCTGGCTTTGAGAATAGCTGGCTTCATTTCTAAATGATTCCACTGATAATTCATCATCATCACAATTAATGATCAAATTCCACAGAGGGAGAATTAAACATCATCTGGGTCATGAACTTGATGCATTTCCTTCCAGGCCTTTAAAAAGTAGAGATTTAGGGGATGATTATAATTTTTTTTCTCCCTCCCCCTTACAAGTAATATATGTTCACCATAGAGATTTGGAAAGAATGGAAATATATAAAGAAGAAAATAAAATTCTGTTATAACCTCACTCATAGACCATCTGCCTTCAGCATTACACCTTATTTTCCTCCAGATTTTTCTCTACACATTCATAAGAACACTCATATATTCCCCTTCAATTTGGGCTACAGACATCCTCCTGCTTTTCCTTACTGACTGCACTCTACCCACACTGGCTTTCCATACCTCAAGCATGGCCCCACCTCAGGGCCTTTGCACATGCTGTGCCTACCACCTGTAATGCTTACCTTCCCACTCATCCTCATCCTTTGGGTTTCAGTTCAGCGACCTCTTCTCTGGGAAGTCCTCCCTGATCCCCCATCCCCGGCTGGCACTGGTGGAATCTCTGGGGTATTTTTTGATTCATGTCTGCCATGCTCTCCAGACCATAATCCCAGGAGGCCTGGGCCAGGTCCACTGCTCCATCCTCAGTGTCCCCAAAGATGGACTTTGACAACTTCAACAAGTCCCTTAACCTCCTGAAGCCTTTGTAATTTCACTGGTAAAACAGGCTCTTTGTGAGGGTCAAATAATTGCAACAACAGGTAATGTTTGAGGGAAGTGTGATCTGAGCCAGGAACTGAGATACATGCTCAAAGTGCAAATCAATTCTGCCTCTCTCTTCTCCTATTTTACAGATGTAGAAACTGAGGTCCACAGAGGGGGTGACTGAAATCACTCACATGCTCCAGGTCCCCTGTCTTCTCCTGTTTGGAGTTCTTGGCTTTGTGGCCCTCCCTAGACCCAAAGAGGAGGGTGGAAGAAGGTCTTCAGGGCCCCTTGGTACTTCCAGCCCTTGTGAAATGGTAGGGTGACTCTCAGGACCTCAGTCTGCCCTCTGTTAAGGGAGAAAATGTTGCCTGCTCCACCTCCCTCACAGAACTGGAGAGGAGCTGTCCTGTGAGCTTGTTTAGTAAGTTCCAGACTCAGGGCCTTTGCACTTGCCGATTCCTCTGGAGCACCGTTTCCCCATTCTCCTTGTGGCCAGCTCCTTCTCCTCCTTCAGGTTCCTGCTCAAATGTCACTTCTTCAGAGAGGTCCTCCCTAAACTCCCTGGTCAAAGTCACCCTCCCTCCAATCATTCATTCATTCATTTGTGTCATATTATCACAGGACACCTACTGTGTTATAGGTCTAGGTGCTCTCAGAGCTCACCGATGGTTAATTATCCATTACATAATCATTTCTGATGTGTCAGGAAGGGGAAATGTGATGTAATAGGACGTGACTGGGTGAAACTGGAACTTCCGGAAGGAAGTGGGTGTTGATCAGCGGCCTGAAGGGGATGAGAGAGTCAGGACCATAGAGAGCTGGAGAAGTAGTGCTCCAGGCAGAGAGAACAGCAGGTGCAAAGGCTCTGAGGCAGGATTGCACCTGGAACCAGAGGAGGGAGTGTCTGACTGGAGGAGAAAGATGAGATGGGAGGTAGCTGATGGGGACCTTGTGGGACCTGGGCTATGCGTAGTAGTATGGACTTTACTTTGAGTAGGGCAGGACGCTGGAGGGTTTGGGGCCCTTCTCCCACCTGGCTCTGTTCCCCCACCACACAGAAGACCCCCTCAAAGCACGCAGCTCCCCCCCATTCAACCATTCCTAATTCCAGAGCCTACGGTGATTCTTAGCAGCAAAGGCCTTGAATTATTTTTATGTTAAAATACAAATTCTTCTAGGCAGAAGCTGGTGCACATTGTTGTGGGTTTTCCCCTTGGGAAAAAACAGGTATTTCTGAGTGCCACCCACCAAGAAGCCTAAAGTAGGCATTTGGAAGGTCAGGGGGCCAAGCGGTCCTGGACGTCCTGATCTCCACTGGGTGGCTGGACCAGCTGCGCCGGGAGCCGCAGCCAGAGCTGGGACTCAACTGCCAATCTCCCCTTGGGAAGAGACTGGGATGGATTTATTTTTATTTTTTATGTTTTTCTGAATTTCCCCAGTTCTCCGCAGTGGGTTCTTGGTACTTTTATAGTCCGAATGGGGGAGAGGGACAAAAATGTCACCCTTAGAAAAAACCAGATGTCCCAAATGCAAGCAGGGCGGGAGGGACGGCCCCACACTTCCAGGGCGCTGGGAGCAGACGTGGGTTGGAGGGGCGGCCTCCAAGCGCAGTTATTTTGGTCTCCCGCGCCTCTGCAGCTGGCCGACTTTTTATAAACAGGACGAGCCCCCCCCCCTCCCATTTCCTCCTGGGGAGGAATCAGTGGGATCAGAATTCTCCTGGGATCACACGCCCTCTGGGGACCGGAGGGAGTTGGGGGCATGGACCTGGTATGGGAGCCAGGGTCTCGTTCTCCCAGCCTCCCGCACTTCTGACTTTTCCGCCTCAAGATTTTGGGGAAAAACGCTGGAGAATCTCAACCCCAAAAATCTCCACTTTGAACTTTGTTTCCCCAGGATGGAGGGAGGGAGATGGGTCTCTGCAGCCCTGTCTTTAATTCAGGAACCGGGGAGCGGTGAAGCCCCTTCCAGCCCTGCGTATTTATTGTTGGGTCTCTAGGTATCGCTGTTACTCTCCCTGTTTCCCGGGTCTTTCATTGCAGGCTTTGGGGCTTTAGGCGACAGGTCGTTTCTCTGCTCTTGTTCCGCCTTTTCTTTGAAAAAAAATTTTTTTAATGAGGCGCAGGGAAGGGGGGGGCATTGTTTTCGGAGCGTCCATCAGCCTCTTTTTTTCTTTTCTGGGAACTGGTGGGGCGGGTGGCTCTCTTGATCGCTATCTCTTCTTTCTTCTTTCATCTCAGAAACAGGGTGGTGCATCTACCAGCCCAGCCCATTTTGGGGGTCTTATATCTTAGAAATTGGATGGGGTTTCTATTGACCCCTAATTCCGCTTTTTCTTTTTGTACTTATTTATTTTGCATAAATAGGGGGCATGGAGAAGCTCTCGACTTCTGTTCCTCTTTACTGAAATTGGGAAATGAGGGGTGTTTGACGGGAAATCACAGAATCCTGGTCTGAGGTGGGGCCGCCAGAGGGTCCAACCTGGACGGGAGGGGCGGAGAAGGGGAACGCCCCCTGAAGATCCTAGCTCGGCCAAGACCTCAGCTTCTCGTCCCTTCAATCACTCGGAAAACACCATTGGACACAAAGAGGAAGGTGATAATCATTGATTGGCTATTCGGCCAATCGCTCGAGTGCCTAAGCCAGTGAGACAATGCCGCGCAGTCCCGCCTCCATGACACTGAGGAGAGGCGGAGCCGGAAGGCTATCCTCCCCCTCCTGCAACGTTCCCAAGCGGTTACTGGATGCGCATACTGGGCCCCGCTTCTTTTGTGCGTCAATCTGCGTGAGAGCCCCGCCTCTCCTGGTTCTGCAAGCATCAGTAGATCATATCTCCATGCGCAGCTCCGCCCAGGATGGCGTCACGGCTGTATCTGCATATGAGGCCCCGCCCTTCTCTTTGCAGGACGTCACCGCGGACTGCAGGGGCCTGAGCCGCTGCTGCTGCCGCCGCCGCCGCGCAGCCCCACATCAGCTCACTGGGGGCCCGTCACCACCGCTGCCAAAAAAGTCCCTGCCGTTAGAGTCGCCACCGCATCGGTGCAAGGCAAGGTGAGCTCCCGGGCGGTCCGGTGCGCTCCCGCTGGAAGCACCTAAATAACCTTCATTTGACTGGTGGGTTGGCCGGGGTGGGAGACGAGGTTGGGCGTGTTAAAGGGGGAAAGGATGCGGTGGTCGCGGGCCTAGAGAAGGGTAGGGCTGTGCCTCCCCTTACTTGTCCGATCCTCACCCTCTTACCCCCCCACCCCCGGCTCTGCGGCGGAGGGGGAGGGGAAGCGAGTGCCTTGCGGGAAGCTGTGCGTGCGCGTGCGCGGGGTGTGCACACGCGTGTGCGCGCCCGCTTCTGCCGGCGGGTCTTTGTGTACCTTTGCGTGTGTACCTGGGTATGTTCGTGTGACCCCGTAGGGGCTGAGCCAAGTGTGTGCGTGCTGCACGCGTGTGGAGGGAAACGCGTGGATTGTGCGTGTGAGTGCACAGCCGTGTGCATATATGCACGGGGATACGTGCCCGTGTGGGTGACGTGTACACGCCTGCATGGGTGGAGGGCGCCGTGCGCACGGGTAGGTTTGCACATGTGTATATGCGTGTCAATGTGCAGACAGGTGTCTGCGTCTCTGTCCTGTGCACAGAGTGTATTCGACCCTTATATGTGCACATGCCTGTATGGATGAGTGTGTGCCCTGCTGTGTGCACGTGAGGGTGTGCACGCTCCGCCCCTATCATGTGACGCAGCTGCCTCAGCTTGAGCTCTGCCAGCCTGGGGGTCTGGGGGAAGAGGGGCTGCAGAAGTGTATCCCTGCGGACCGCCCACGTGTGTACACGTGTGCATGTGCACCGGCGCTCGGTTCTGAGAAACAAATGATTGACGGTGGGCCCGGCCGCAGTCACTCCTTCCCGGCACAGCCGTAGGGTTTAGGGTTACAGCTGGACCTGGGGTGCAGACCTGCTGGAAGAGGCTGCAGCGGTGTCCCCATCCCCGTTGCTTTGAGCTCTTTCCTAAACCCCCCACCCCCGCCTTTCAAGGTCAGGCCCCGCCCTCTGCCTTGGGCTTCACGGTTAGGACTGGGGCTTCTGGTGGGATGTGGGTAATCTCAGCATGCTAGTCCCTCTCTATGGCTCTGGAGTTCTCTACATCCTGAGCCTGGGAATGGCAGGGGACCCTTCACGTTAGCCTGTGCCCTGCCTGCATCTTTAGATGGCGTCAGCCACAGACTCGCGCTATGGGCAGAAGGAGTCCTCGGACCAGAACTTCGACTACATGTTCAAGATCCTCATCATTGGCAATAGTAGTGTGGGCAAGACGTCCTTCCTTTTCCGCTATGCAGACGACTCCTTCACGCCCGCTTTTGTCAGCACTGTGGGCATCGACTTCAAGGTCAAGACCATCTACCGCAATGACAAGAGGATCAAGCTGCAGATCTGGGTCGGTCCAGCTGGGGGACTCCCAGCTCCATCACACTCCCTTCCCAGAAAAGCAGCCCCAACTTTGCCTATCTTATTCCTGTCTAGATTCATTCGTTCACATACTGGGCATTTATCAGGTGCTTACTATATACCAGAGGTACAGAAGAGAGCAACCCTGCTCCTCCATCAGAGTCTAATCAGTGCTCTCCAGGGCTGGGGGAGGAGACAATGCTGGGTGCTCTCCTACCTCTGATATTGGCAGGAATATCAATGGGCTTGGTGCCTCACTTCCCCCATCTGCAAGTTCTTCCATGTGTCTGAGATTTCACCAGATCTTGGCCCCCAAACTAGTTGCCAGGTACAGGCACAGGTACCACCCCCAGGGCTGCCTGGCTGCCTCCCCCAACCACACAGAGGCCTGAAGGAGCCTGTTAGTTCCCAGCCCTCCCAGGGCTCCCATTTCATGCACAGTAAACCCTGCACCTCTACCCCTGGCCTAGGAGACCCTGCCTGGTCTGTCCCTGTGACACCTCCACCCTGGTCTGTCTTCCTCCATTGACACCTTATTCTCCTTACTATTCTTCATAGTAAGCGGTCCCACATCATCAGCATCTTTGCTCTGGCTGTGCCTTTTGCCTGGGTTGTCCTTCCTCTGATCTCCATATGTCTCCCTCCTTCACTTCCTTTGGGTTTTTAAACCCTGCCCCAGCCTACACTGCCCATCCCAGCCAGGCTTTATTTTCCTCCTCAATCCTATTGCCCTCCGACAGAGAATATTTTTTTCTTTTCACATGTTTATTGTCTGTTTCCTGTACTGAGCTGTCAGTTACACAAGGACAGTGAATTTTGCCCACTTTGTTTACAGCTGTGTCCCCAGTGCACAGTTTGGCAAAGGGCAGTGACCTATACACATGTATGGATGAATGAGGGAACAATTCTGCAGGTACTGGACTCTGTAGGAAGATTGAGCACCAGTTCTCAGTGCAGAAAGCTGGCTCTCCCTGTGCCTCTGGGCAAGCCCCTACTCCTCTCTGGGCCTCAAGGGGACTGGACTGGACAATCTCAGAGCTCGTTTCCACTGAGCTTACATGTGGGTCCTCTCTTATCCTGTCTCTTCTTTCCTAGGATACGGCAGGGCAAGAACGGTACAGGACCATCACCACAGCCTACTACCGAGGTGCCATGGGCTTCATCCTCATGTATGACATCACCAACGAGGAGTCCTTCAATGCTGTGCAGGACTGGTGAGCACACACCCACCCCTTCTCTGGCTGTTTTCTGAGCTGAGCTTGGTGCAAAGCCTGGGGCAAAGGCTGATGAGGGAGCCCTAGCCCCTTGGCAGAAATGTAAATGACTATATTGGGGCCCCAGACCTGCTGGCAATCTATAATCATTAAAACATGGTGTCATTGGCTCAAAATAACAGGAAAAAAGGATTTCAGGTGGAAAAATGAAACTATAAACATATAGAAAAATATCTGGTGGGGGGGTGCAGAAAATATAAGGACAGTTTGCACAGGTTAAAGAACATAAACATATACATTTTCTGCCCAAAAGTAATGATAAATTTTAAGAAAACTTCTGATTTTGCTGAGAAATTCTTCTCTCCAGAGGCAGAGATCTGGGAAGGATGGGAGAGGCTGCTTGAAAAGTGGGATTTCCAAATCAGGAAGCTGCTGGAGCAGACACACAGAGACAGGAGAGTGTCACTGGCAGAACAGAGGCTGGAAGAACTGAACCTGCCATGTCCAAGGAATAATGGGGAGTGGGGTCAGGAAGTGGAGCTCAGATCCTCCAAGCCCTAACCCACCCCTGTTGCCCCCTCCTCCAGGTCAACCCAGATCAAGACCTACTCTTGGGACAATGCCCAGGTGCTGCTGGTGGGGAACAAGTGTGACATGGAGGATGAGCGGGTAGTATCATCAGAACGCGGCCGGCAGCTGGCCGACCACCTTGGTGAGTGTCCAGTAGGGCTAGACTCCTGCAGGATAGAAGAGGGACACTGAAGCCCTGAGAGAGGAGGGACACACCACACCCAAAGTCTCTCAGCAAAGCCAGGATGGGGCCTGGATTCTGATCTAGACACTTTATATTTTCTGTAAGGTGGACCTTGATTGATGCAGGAACTCTGCAGGAAGTTACTGATTCATTCTGATACCCTCACTGCCCAACTTAGAACTGGATATTGTTGGGCCCACAAGAGGCCTCCAGTTGTGTGCGGGTAGAGGGAGGGGCCTGGGCTGGGGGAGTCCAGCAGGGAGCCAGGCTTTGCCTGGCATAAATAAGGCTTCCTGGGTTGGGGAGACATAGTGCCTAGTACTTGAAGAAAGGGTGGTCCTTCAGGGAGAGGAAGCAGCTTGGGCAAAGGCCATAGGTATGAAAGATCCTATGCATTTTGGCAAATAGTTTTACATGGCTGAAACATGAGGGTCACTGGAAGGAAATGTGGCTGATCACACAGGGTCTGACCATGTGAAGAGCTGGGATTCTTCTGAGGCCAAAAAGAACCAGAGTGTGTGAACAGGGGAGGGCATGGCTGGATCTGAGTGTCAGATGCCACCAGAGTCAGTTCATGGGGCTGGGTTGGGTGGTGGGGAACAGAGGAGTGGGTCTTGCCAGGGCCCTGGGGATAATGAGAAGTGGACAGTTTTAGGTTCAAGAAAGGAGTGCGGGAAATACAGGGCTGACCCAGTTCGATGTTACTTCCCCATGGGACCTGCCAGTGCCTTTATGGTATGGTCAACACTGGGACTCTCCAGTAATTTCTGGCCTCAGAGAATTGTCTCTGGAAGTGGGGGGCCCAGGGTCTTCACCTCTCCCTTCCCTGACCATAGGGTTCGAATTCTTTGAGGCAAGTGCCAAGGACAACATTAATGTCAAGCAGACCTTTGAGCGCCTGGTGGATGTCATCTGCGAGAAAATGTCTGAGTCACTGGACACAGCCGACCCCGCGGTTACAGGCGCCAAGCAGGGCCCACAGCTCACGGACCAGCAGGCGCCTCCGCACCAGGACTGCGCTTGTTGAGAGCTGGCTGGCCCATCCTGGTCCCCACCCCTGCCTACCCTCACCCCCCCAGGCCTGACCTCCTGGATGCCCCACCCCACCCCCAGCTGTGGGCACGAGACCCCTGCCCCTGAATTAGCCCATCACCCTTATTTATTATTGTAGCTATTTATTTATTTATTTATTTATTTATTGGAGATGTCCACTGGGGGCTCGGCACCCCACCCACCCTGTACATATAGCCCTGTCCCCGCTCTGCCGTGGCGTGTCGTGGCCCCTCGAACTTACCACTCACCTTCCTCTCCAGACCTCACCTTTTTAAAAATTCACCCCATCAATAGTTCTCGGTTTTTAAGAGGGACCAGATGACACCCGAGGGCAGGGTGACCGGGTGATGGGAGGTAGGTAGCCAGGCCTGCCAGCCCCTTGGCTGTGACACGATGGGCTGAGGCCACAGTGGGGTCTCAGCATGGACCACAGGGTGGGTCAGAGCTGGGCAGTGGCCTGCCTGGCTCCCTGGCCCCCAAGGTTTTACCTTCTTTCTTGGAGGGGAGGCTGCTGTGGGTACTCACCACCCTAGGACCCCCCCCCAGACCTATCTGACATCGTAAGTGTCAAATGTGCCCCCAGTTCCCCAGGAGATGTCATGACAACACTACACACACCCAATAAAGCAAATGGACAATGCTGTGTCCCTTCCAGCACTGGCATGGTCATCCACAAGATTTTCAATTACAGATAGAATTTAATGCAGTTTCCACAGTTCATGACCAGAGCATGACATTGGCGCTGCCTGGCCCTGCCTAAGGCTCCAGATCCTGGGGGCCAACTCCAGGCCAGGCCCTGTTCCAAGGGGATGGACAATGTCCTCACCTTGGTTCCAGGGCCTAGAGCCCAGTCCACAGTAGTGTTGAGGGGTTGGGGCTTGGGACTGGCTGGGTAGCTGGAGCCCAGTGCTGAGGATGGGACATCCTGGTCCGTGAGACTCCAGGTGAGAAGGGTTGGGGAATGACTATCCATCTTCATGGCTATATTCCAGATGGGGGGAAACTGAGGCCTGGTAGTAGGCTTGGAAGGGGTAGCCCAGCCAGATGCCCAGGAATGGGGGTGGGGCTGGGACTTGGTCCAGGGCCCTGGCCTGCTTCAGGAGCCCACGCCCCTTACTGCCCAGGTGGGTGGTCAGCTGGAGGTCAGTCTTGTCCTGTCTGGCATCCGGTTGGGAGGTAGGGTAGCTCAATCTGCATGTTGCCCAGAGGCACTCAGCTAGAGGACGTTAGGGGGTCTGGGATCTGCACAAGAGGGTCTGGTCACATGCTGCATTCATCCTTTTCTTCAGGCTCCTCTTCACAGAGCCCTCCTCCACCTGTCTGGGGGCTGGGGTCAGCCTCACTGGAAAGATGCAGCAAGGACCCAGACAAGGTCCCATCAGACAGAAGGTCCCATCAGACAGCTGAAAGGCTCGGTATTCATTCTGTTGGTGATCAGCTCCCCACCTGCCCACTGTAGGGTGCAGGTTTTCAAGAGCACAGGAAACCCTCACCCTGGAGGGTAGCTGTACTGCCATTTGAGGCTCATGTGTGTGGACCCCTAAGGAGTCCCCTGGGTACCTGGTCCACCCACTGCACTCACCGGTACTTCAGGTAGGAGAGGTATGTGTCCCAGCCGAGTGTCAGGCCATTGATGTAGGTAACTCGGAATTGAGGGGGCACGAAGAGGAAGTTCACCAGCTGCGCAGCGGGCCACACGCACCAGTCAGCCTGTGGGGAGGAGCGGAGTGCAGTAAGGGATGGGCCAGAGGGGCCTGAGCGGGGCCTGATGGCTGTGAGAGGTGGGGCAAGATAGATGTAAGGGAGTGGGGAATAAACAGGATGGGAGGGGCTTGGGAGGGCACACCCACCTTGTAGAATTCCCAGAATTTGTCCTGCAGCTCCTGGCAGCTCTGGTCCAGGGTCTGGCCCTCTAGGCAGCCAAGACCTGGGAAAGTAATGAAAGTGTCAGAAGCTGGTGAGTCCCAGTGATGGAGTGGGCTGGGGAGGACCCTAAAGAACAGTGTCCCAGGCTGAGGAACCAGGACATTTAAAAGCCTTGCATTAGTACAATAGGAAGAACAGTATAGTAGGGTGGCAGATGTGGGGAAACAACACAGATCAAGTAGGTCCCAGTGAGGGAGATAGGTTATAAATAAACACATGCCAGAAAGGATGGAGACACACCCTTCCTAATGTTGAGACTGTTTTATTACCAGTCCTGGGGGATGGGAAATGAACAACTTTCTTTCCAAAGCTAAAAGCTGGGATGATTACGCCCCATCAAACCCTAGTCTCACTCAGCTCCTCTTCCTTCAGCTTCAGGGCCTTTGCATGGGCTGTTCTATTTCTCTGGCTGCTGGTTTGTATTTCAAGTCTCAAGCTGAGTTCCTCTCCTTTGGGAAGCCCTCCCAACCACTGCCCGGAGCAGCCCCATCAGACAGACACTGTCCTCATCTCTCCTACATTTAGAACCACTGTCTGTGATTCTGCCATTCACACCTACACCTGCCCCACTGGGTCTGTCCTGTTACCACTGTGACCCAGCCTCCAGTCCAGGGCCACCCACACAGGATGTACATCAGAAATGAACCTCCACATCCTTCTTAACACAAGTTTGGCTTTGTCCCTCCCAACCTATGAGGGTTTGCAAAGCCCAAGCTCACAGGGCTCCTTACCCACGAAGTACCAGACACCCAGCAAGGGAGAGGCCACCAGCTGGTCCACAAGGACCTTCCTGATGATGTTTGGAAGGCCTCGGAGGCCAGACGCAGGGAGCAGGTGGTCCAGCCAGAGGTACCAGTAGTGCAGGAAGGGGCCCATGCTGCAGCCCACCGCAAACATGCTCGCTGAGGGTAGTGCAAGAATCAGGGAGGCCACATCAGTCCAGCAAATCCCTGAATCCACTCCCTCCCTGGCTAAGACCT